AATATTGCATTTTGTGTGGGATTTAGTGCTGGGGCAGGGCCAATATTGCATTTTGTGTGGGATTTAGTGCTGGGGCAGGGCCAATATTGCAATTTGTGCGGGATTTAGTGCCGGGGCAGGGCCAATATTGCAACATATGTATTCTTTTAAAGTGATTATATACTCCCAGTACATTTCAGCACAACACAAAGTAGCCTTTTTTTAATGTATTATTCTGTAAATGATGAACTTGATATGAAGAATAATTCCATAGAGAGGTATATAACAACACATTATAATATTCTTTATATAAATACATGGCGCAGTATAGATCAAACAAGTAACTCCTATGATGACACGCACGAACAGTAGTAACTTTTTTTTATTTTACTTTAATACAAGAAAAAAAAAAAAGAATTCACAATAATGATTCACACCAAATCATATTTTTTGCTCATCTGTGAAGTAGGAACACATCTGTTTTGAGACCTTGTAATGAATTTTAATTACTGTTGAGATCACAAGACAATGAATATAAACATTACAAACTTAAGATTTTTTTTGAGTTGAAAATGCTTACTGTTGCGTTGTATCCTGTTCGATAGGCCACTCATAGCAACGTATACAACACAGTGTAAAATACATTGTTTACATGAAATTTGAACACGCGCTGTGCGACAACCACTTAACTTATTGAACAGTAGTATGCAGTCAGATACACACTTTACTTCTACAAAAACAATAAATAGTTTGTTTCATTATGAAAGTGCAAATTATGAAAGATTGTTTTGGAAACCCATATGTTACTTTTATGTGTACACTACCAAAATGATAAGTTTATATCCTTGTTTTGGGGCTATTATGTAATATTTTGATTACATGCGAGTTATTCAAAACAAGGGTAAGGTTTTTGAGAATTCACGCCATTTAGAACACCATTCAAAAGCATTACCAAATGATAGTCAAATCAGAACCTGAAAAAATCATTTAATAAAATCATTAAAAATTGTTGAAGTCATACATCTCACAAGATATTGTATTTGCTCTATTAAAAATGAATTATTGTAAGCTGGATCTTTAAACTTCGACTCATTTTCACTACAGACATGCCTCTGTCATTTACGTCAGCGCTACTAATGAAGCAAATACAGAAGTCCAAATACAGAGTATGTTAGCGTTATGTGTTTATGTTCCATGGAAGAGTGACACTGATAACCCAGCCGGGTCCTTCAATTCACCAATCACATTGACTTCTTCATCAAAGCCTTCATGCATCAAATTAATTATTAATAGAATAAAACTTGAAGAATATCAGGGATTGAAATAGAATTTTTTTCTCTGCATGCATAGTGTGCATGTTGAATTTGAAATATACCTGCACTAACTTGTTGTGAAATGCACCATTTTTAAAGTTTAAATAAAATTTACGGGTTCTCGATTGATGCAATCAGGAAAGAATTTGATTTTTTTTAGTTGTCTCACAATGTTGGTTGAACTTAATTTAGGCTTAGTGAATATAATGAGAAAATGTTGTGTTATTTCTACATGCACAGTGTGCACATTATATTTTGAGTTTACTTGCACGAGCTAATAATCTATGTGCATAGTGCAGTGTGCACCAGGGTATTTTGATCCCTGAATATACAAGTATTTGTCAAAAATTCAATATATACTTTGTAAGCAACATGAAGTTTAAGATGTGGCTTAAAGGAGAATTAAAATTGTTCACTAATTGTGGGGAAAAAAACTTTTCAATGTATTATACTGAAAACTGAGTAAATTTTCAGTTTTTACTTACAAAATTTGGCTATTTTTGTCTCAATCTTATGAAGAAAAGTGAAGACTATAAACGGGACTATTTTGAGAATATGTGGTGAAAAGGTTAAGTGAAATTGAAGATGAACATGTGTTCTGCAGAGATGACTTTCCATTAAACATAATGGAGAATACTATCATACTGGTAACTACTTAAAATTTAATGATTAATCGACTTTAATTACATTTAATACCATTTTTTTTTCTGCCAGTATCAGAAATAAATTGTGAGATATAAAAAAAAAATACTATCACCATAAAAACCAATGCAAAGACAAAAACAATTTCATTGTTTTTAGAAAAACTGTTTTCTGTATTGCCATGATGAACTCATATTTTGGCTTGAAGACTCATAATTGGTATGAAAATATTTGAATAAACAAACAGCGTAAAGATATAGTTGTATTTATCGCATTGTAATCAAAAAGGTAAGGTAGCAAAATAAAAATATATTTTTTCTAAAAAAAATTGGATTATGAAACACAACCAGTGTCTCTGCTATACTAGTAGCGCAAATTCTTACATAAATAACAGTGGTATGTCAATGCTTAAAATAAATTATACTTCAATCTTGTTTTAGCCCGATTGCATGGACAAAGTAATCCTACACAAGTTTAATGTCACATAAAATGAGATGGAAAACTAAGGGTTGAGTACCGGTAGCCGCCATTGCATTGAAATCAGTCACATGAAAGAGGCCGTAGAGAATAATGTGCAGAACACACACTATTATAGGAATTGGCACATGAAATAACCAGTGAGAGGCAGTCAGTGAAAGGCTTAGCCTTTCAAGATGACACCATATACGTCATTTCGCTCAGGGCCCTGGTAAGTTGTCATTCTGTATCAGAACCCTCGAGGTTTGCTTGACAAATCAAAATTTCTCTGAAGACCTCAACACCATCCCCCCTCCCGGCCATCTTTTTTTCACTTGCAAGTGATTTAGTGTACAAGGTCGATATAGAGTGTCTATGCTATGATTTAAGTATTAAAAATAAAAACAATCAGAGAAAGAATATCAATAGTTACAGCTATTACTACAATAATCCAATTCGTGCAACCTTGTTTTTGTCATTTATACGACACACAAAAACAGGGACAAAAGACGGACACAATTCTACATTAACAAGACATTGTATATATAGTAAGAAAAAGCCCTTTGGTTCTTTGTATCTATGGTTGCTTTAAAGCGGAGGGGTCGTCACCTGTGCACGTGCGGAAATTGAGTCCCACGCAACAATAACACACGCTAAAAATGCAAAGGCTCATGGGTAGACACTTGTTTGTAAACAATGACACGCTATGGCCATCTGACGCATGTGCAGGTAACGACTCCCCACTTTAAAAGTGACTCACCTACATTACATTGTTTTACCATAGAGAAATTAAAAATTAAAGTCTTAAATTCATAAAATAAGAAGTATAGGTGTGTGTGTGTGAGTATATATATATAAGCAGATTCAAATGGTACTATCATTTTTAATAATTTGAGCAACATGCATATCTGTATGCAACTATGGTTCATTCAAAAAATGAAAAGAACAAAAAATAGTTGTAGACTATAGAGGGCAGTATAGTACATTTCTCGGCCATTCATAAACATGGCATACATGGCAGTAGTATATACAATGGGTTAACATGCGAGAAAATGTATCAATAAACTTAGTTATCAGTTAATTAAACTTAGTTATCAGTAACTATCATACGTACACTATACATGTATATAGCAAAGACATCAAATATATACTTTACGATTTTATTAACAAGTACTGTAAAATCATTAATTTTTACTGGGATTTAATTTATTTTTATCAATGTTTTAAATTCACAGGTTTTTCCAGCGAAACAAGTTTAATTGATGTAAGTTTAAATATTTTATTTAGTGAATTATTAAAATAAAACCCAGCGAATGAATAATGTGTTTACAGTATGTTAATTTGTGTTTACAGTATGTTAATATGTGTTTACAGTATGTTAATTTGTGTTTACAGTATGTTAATTTGTGTTTACAGTAAGTTAATTTGTGTTTACAGTATGGTAATTTGTGTTTACAGTATGTTAATTTGTGTTTACAGTATGTTAATTCTATAAGTCATCTTAACGAGTAGAATTGCCGAAATCCAACTTTAAGTATTCCATCAAAATACACATCCATAAGAATGTAATTGTAGAAATCAGATTTATGTACATAATTTAAATAAATGTTGGTAAACTGCCTCACCTTTTTACTGCCATTGTCAACTTTAGGCATCTTTCAAAAAAAAATAGTCCAATTTAAACATCTAATAGTTCAGAATTGTTGGCCACATTTTTGAATAATCACAAAATCAAAAACGGCAACGGCAACGGGAAGCATACTGATAATGCTATTATTACACAATCTTAAGCAGTGAAACTGACAGGGATTTTTTTTAAACAAGGGAACATGGGTGCAGCGCCCTCATACCATGGCCATGTATCGCCTTACGCTGGGGAGCAGATCCTCTGACAACCATAAAATTCTGATTGACCAGGGATCACATGTGGCCACAGTCTTCAACTGTGACCTATCTGATTACAATTTCGGCTCAAAGGAATACATAGAATGCTCCATTTTAACTTAGAATTATCAAAAACTCTATCCCTATCTCCCCCATTTGGTGGCTCCGCTGAATTGGAGTGCTCCCTCTTGCAGTTTTTTTCTAAAAAAAACCCTGAACTGAGATATAATAAATTTAAATACAGTGTGAATTTGACACATAAAAAAGAATACATTTTACAACAAGACGTATTCATGTTTCGCCAGGCATTATTTAAACGTATTCTGAGCAATAGTTTCACACAGCTCATCAAAACACTCAGACAAGTATGGTAACTGGGATATCATGCCAGTTGATGCTAATTACTTCCATCTTCTATGTACATATGTTCATTTTGCAGTGGAATGCAAATTGAGATCCCAATTCAATTTGCCACTTGACAAAACAAAGAAGGTTATACAAGTTACTTCAACAAGCGTCAGCAAACCTTAGCAATGTGGAGACAAGAATTCTCGCACATACTGGTGAACTAATTCTTGGTCGTGACCTATTGATTTCATTAAATTGTTTTTGTCTTCCAGGTCAAGTGTTATTACTTCAATACAGGTCAAAGTGTTGCATCTGCAACCTGCCTCTAAAATCAAATCAGGCAATCAACCTGAAACAAGAAGCTGAAACTTATGAAAACTAAATGTTTGTTTCTTCGGTTATTCCCTTTTCCTGATTTTGTCCATTCTGTTGCTGCAGGAGCAAATGAGGTGGTAACTTCAGTTGGGGAAGAGGCTGTTGAGTTTCAGCTGGCAGGGGAGGAGGCGGTGGTGGCGGCATATCACTTTTATCTTTCATTTTAACCTTCAATATTACTTCATGTTTTTTGCTGGAGATATGTTGGTCATATTGAATCTTAGAGTTTAGGGACAGATTGCACACTGCACAGAAATAAGCCTTTTTAGGTGATTTGGAATGAACGGGAGGCGACGGTCGTAACCTTTTTGCATGCTTTGCACCCTCGTAGTGTGAATTGGCGTGTGTCACTGACGTGAAAGACACACTGCACAATTCGCAGAATGAGAATTTGTTTTTCATTGGATCATCCTCCTCAAAACATGTTGGCAACTGAAAATAAAAATTTATAAACTTAGTTGTATGTTAAATAAAAATTGAATTGTTAGCACAAACCTTTAGTAAAACTATTTCTATGTTGAATTAAATCTAGTCTGATTTTGTTGTAGTACTGCTTAAAGCGGGAGGGCCACCACCTGTGCACGTGCGGGAATTGAAGTGATTATAACAACAAATGCTAAAAACACAAAGGCCCATGGGTAGACGCTTGTTTGTAAACAATGACACGCTATGGCCATCTGACGTGTGCACAGGTGACGACTCCATTGCTTTAACAGTGCAGGGATCTGATGTAGAATTAGTTTTTGTTGACAAAAGAAGAAAATATGAATATCTTATCTGTATAATAGATGTGAATTTACCTTTTTTTGAGGGAGATTAGCAGGTATGCTTTGCTGGGCGATGTATTGCCGAAATCTCTTCTTGTGAAGCTTGCCTTCGTAGTGGGCTTGTGCCTGGGGTTGAGAATTCAGCATGATCCCACAGAGTTTACAATGTAACAGCTCCATTAGTTCATTTGGCACTGGGACTGAAGGATTGTCAGTATCAGCTTTGCGCTTGACACCAGTGGAGACTGTAACATTACTTTGTTCTGCTGATAAAAACAGTGACACATGATACAAACGATCAGTACACATCGTAGACACTGTTCATTTCCTGTGCCTGAAAACATTCTACAATATAGGGATATATCACATGACCATCACAGAGTATGATTATATAGACTGAAGTGTACGATGGCTTGTTAGGGCCATCCACCACGGTGGAAATAATTTTCTCGCGGTGTAAATATTTCTGCGATGAGAATAATTTTCTCCGCGGTTTAAATATTTCCACCGTGGAGAAAATTATTCTCACCATGGTTTAAATATTTCCACCGAGGTGTAAAATAAAGTGAAAATGTCGGAAATTCAAAATGAAGCCGAAAAATACAGGTGAAAATGTGAGAAATTTTAAAAACAGTGAATGGCCTTAACAAGCCATCGTAGATCGTAGGCGTAATCTCATCATTTTTTAATTTTTTGGGGGTTGTCATCACTTTCATGTGTTCATCATTATGCTTCTTGTATGGACCAACAAATTTGTGAAACACGAACGACCTTTTAATCACAGAAATGTCTCACTGGCTTTTAGTCAATTTTAAGAATTACAATCCCTCAGAAAGATGTTTTACTTTTAAGTCCAACAGATATGATGTAATTTTGGAAATACTTATTTGATAACCATAAATTTGCTATATAAACATCATTTTCATCTTTTCATTAAAATAATGGAGAAAAAAAATATGACCTACATTAAAGCCAGAGGTGATTTAGTACAATTGCAATACCACTAAACAACTCTTTTTAAACTTTTAATTAATTTGTTTGCTGTTTTTTTTTAATAACCCCATCATTTTGTCTGTTTTGCCCATCAGTTTTATGCATGCAGGCTGCAGCCGTACAAGTTTTCCTGCGCAGTTTTCTTATGGTTGAGTAATTTAAGAAGTGTCATTGCCACCTTTGCACGAGTATAAATACAACAAAACAAACAAACAAATAGTATCTGTTAGATGCTCCCGGAGAAGGAGAAGAGTATCCTTAGGATACGGATCACCACGCAGCTGCCTCATCACCGAAGACAGCGCTGTGGGTGAAAGAGAGAAAGCTAGATTTACTTCAAAGACGCTACGAATTTAATGAAATCGATCTCATTCAGACATCATTCCACCACGACGATATGAAATATTGTCTCTTGACCACCATTCTATGATCAAATGCAAAAAACAAAACAAAAACAGGACAAGTTATATACCAGTACATTATATATATATATAACGGGGATATCTGGCGACGAGAAACGATGGATGGAACTGAGACAATCTAACGAGAGATATAAACCACAGTACCTTCGAGAGACTTAACGTCGGATTTGTCTATAGTAAAACCAGATCCTCCAAAATCCTTTTCAAATAACGGTTTCACCGGTAAAGGAGTAGTTGACTGTGTTGTTGTGGGGCGTCCGTCGTCCGGGCTCGGGTCAGCCATGTTGCTGGAAGTCGCCATGTTGTGTCCGGGGTATGAAACCCTATTTAGTCCGAGCAGAAGCATATAACTAGGCACAAAGTCCAAGTTTATGTGAAATATCCATACACACTACATATTAAATTACATAATCATTTTCACGCATTATTTCCATGGTAAATTATTCGAACAACACGGACATTGAAAAAAAAAAATACTGCAAAATATTTAGCAATACGGATACCCCCGGGTAAAACAGCCGCGACAAAAGGCAACTGAGACACCGGTGTCGTTTTGCATAGTCGTAGTAGAAAGCGCCGCCTCGTGGTGGAATGGTTAGATTTTATGATGCTCCCAGGTCTTAGCAGAAAACGAATAGGGCAGTAAACACAGTTTAGTAGCTGTGGTATCTACTGATTTGAGAAAAAAATAATCTCTCCTAGAAAAATAGGCATTACGCCCAGAAAACCCAATCTTTCTATAAATAGCCATGGTTTCCATTTCACTCAAACGTTTTGTTAAATGTAAATGGACGTGCAACTTACAAGACGTACATGTATCTTGAAGAATCTCCCTGCAATTGTAACGAACTAATGTGTAGTAATTTGGGTCGAATCTGGTATTCATTTTTTTCTTCAATTTTCTTTTGAAACTATAGATATATTTACTTTAAACAGGAGCGAAAACATGCATTTCTTAAGTATTCGTGTTCGATACTTCATGCTGTAGAACAAATCGGGTTATCGTTCATCATGATTAACTAAACATGTTGTGTTTGCAGGACACACAGCAGTATTTGTTAGGTGAAAAATAAAAAAAAACACACTTAAATACGCAATGAATTGCCGTGACTGTTATTGTACGTATCACAACACAGCCGGTGCACATGCGTATTGGAAATGTAATCGTTTCATCGAACGAAAACTCAGATGTATTCATCAACATACAGTATCAAACAACAATATTAAAAATGACACGTTCTCGTCCAAACTGCGTATTTAAATAAAACCAGTATGTTTCAGCTGCATTTTACTGACTTGCGCCCTAACACTTCAGAAAGTATATTTACTTTGCAATTTGTATTTAATCCGACGTCTTTCAATGACACAAACTGGGGTATTGTTAACCAACACAGCCGGCGCTATGTTAGACTGGTCGATTGTTCAAATGAAAAGCCGGATCTCCACAGCACTGGAGAACACTGCTTTCTATTGAGACTGAACTCAAGCGATGATCGAAGTGGTATGGTAAATATAGACAACTTATTCATTGTCAGTCAGATCGGTTATAAGGAAAATGTCAACGAAATATAATCTATTATTCGCCAGTGAACGCTTCTCTCTTCTCAAGGGTTATAGTCTAGCATGAGAGGTGGACATATTGCGCGCCAACTATCGGTTATACATGTATCTCGATTCAACAACTACTCCATATGCATGCATGTATTGGTGTGATATATTATAATACTAAACTGTACATTCAATGAATCTATCGCATTCTGTGTTATCCTCGCTACGGTTATATAATAATAGTCTTCATTGAAGTCGTATTCTAAAAATGGTCATAGATCAAAGTACAATAAAGCATGGTTGTCATTCTATGTCAGAAACATTCAGAATAAAAAAAACATACACTGGAAGAAAAAAACAAAACAAAAACAAAAAACAACAACAAACTTGCCCGAAAATGGGTTAGAAATGCATATTTATAAAGTATAAGTAAGGATTACTTATTTAGATATGTTTGAGACAGCTGTTTTTTTTTTAATTTTATTTTCTAATTGTGTTGAGAAGGATCTGTGTTTCATGATGTTTGTATAGCTGACATTTTAACAAAAAGTGTTCCTCATCCTCAATATCATTAATATCGCATTTCAATTTGTAAAACATGTGCGCTTAATCTTAGTTTGGTCATTGATGATCTGTGTAGTGGGTTATATATATTCATATAATTTGATAAGGTGCATTTACCGGCAAAAAGAGATACTTGTTTGTATTTCAAAATGTTTCAATGAAATCATGCCAAAATATTTTGAAGACTTTGAAGTGAAATTTTAGCGAAGACCAACTAGTTTTGAAATAGCGGACTGGCATATTATAGTGTCTATTCATCTTTGGTTGAATCGTAATTTGGAACTCATATTATGATGCTGTTTTGATTTTTTTAGTAGAAGATAATTCTGCTTTACAGATTTTTACATTATCGGCTATGGGCGGTTTAATTGTAGTACGACACCTGTACATGTGAAATATCATGGCAGAAAAATAACACGAGCGTTCGGGGTCACAGCCCAAATCATCACGCTTTTCCTGCAATAAAATATACGTCCACTCAGAAACATAATAAAAATGCATGTATGTCACAGGTATTGTCGAAACCATTAACATATGTGAGCAATTTTGGCTTATAATACATAACTAAAAGACACTCAACCATAGATAGTAGATAGTTTGCCCTGCCTGGGACAGTATGGTTAGTATCTGGGCCAAATCAGAGATATATGCGACAAAAACGCGTCCAGAGAGGTGGAAACACAAAGAAATCTACACACAGTGTCCCATTATCTACGATGATATCATGGATTCAGTGCAATGACAATAAAGGATCAAATGTCTGACTAAAATGTCAACAGCTTTTACTGGCTTGGTAACCGTCTTGTGAACAATCTGTGCTAGTAGTACACAATTGTTTCCAAGGCGGACTTTGAGTCGGGCACGCCTTATCACCCTCCTTTGCATTGCAGCTTGCACGTGAATAGTTCGCAATGAAATGTTTGGTGTAAATGGTCCTCAACAAACTAATAATGTCCATTTACTATGGCATTAATCTAATTGTGGTTGCGCAGTCATACATTCACGACACTGACATGACTGGCATGGCATTTAAGCGTATGAAGATTGTAAAAAGCGAGTGACAGTATTATTCACTATGTTTTCAGCACGGCGACGTCATCTGCTTGTATAAATAAGATTTCCGCAGTTAATACATCTCAAACATCATTATGTTATTTTGATCTTTTTCATTTCAGTTTTATTGGTTTTAGCATTTGAATATTGGTTTCAATATCCCAGTGATATTTATATATTTAATATATACATATATATATATATATATATATATATATATATAATATGTATTTTTGTTTTACCATTCTCATGGCGATCTCAGTCACATGAACTGAAACGGAACACGGATGGAGAAGATTGTTTGCGCATTTTTTAATTGCCCCGCTATACAATTCTCACCATAAACCATAGACCTTAAAAGACTTTAAGTCTAAACTTAACTTAAGTTTAAACTATGCATAAACCAATTATTTTTGTGTCTTTGTACTTAACTACGGTCTCTTTCAATAACACCTATTGTTTGAATTATAAATGCACACTAACAGTCTATTGTTTCCCATTGTTGTTGTTGTTATTTATCGCCTGGCTAATCAAATCAAGCAACGTGGGCCTTAATTAATGGCTAGTTGAAAAAAAAAGAACAAGTCAAATTTGTCACAGTATATCAGTAACATATGCATTACTCTTTAATTGTGTACGTTTACAATGGTGGAAATATTTGCGACAGGGACGCCTGCACAGAATCATCATCGCTGTGGTCAAGGGGGAGTGGATCACCGTTAGAGATCTCATCGTTTTCATTGTCTGCAATTACGCTATTCGGAGCTATTTCAGCGAATAATTTGTGTAACCGGCCGCACCCTATATATCATGGTCAAAGTATTGGAGGACAAGTTTTAAATGCCAGCCCAGCATCAAAATTTTGTAAACCACGTGATTGTATGCAAATTACTTACCTGGTTAAACGTGTCGACTCACTTCAGCTACCGTTAGTCTGTACATCGGAGAGGGGAAACGTCAACCGAATATGTCGCGAACACCAGTAACACAGCAACCAAGGCCGACCACTGGCGAGTCACTGGAAATGAAATGGGTATCGAAACTTTCACGTGGATACACACCAGGTGGGGTTCCAAGTGGCCTCGGTATATTGGCAGACACCGACCATCTCCGGGTTCAACAAACACTGGATACATTAGGTAAGCAAGCATACTGCGCATCTCCGATCAGCCACGGTGCGTAACTATAATTTGATAACCAACAAACACAGCAGCAACTCACGCATAGGCTCAAGTTAGCACGCCGCAATGTAGCTGAAATACGAACTAAATGAACGGGCAAATGCGTTCCCAATTGGTTTCATATGAATGGAGGATTTTATATTCGCCTTCAAACGAGAGCGTCTCCTATTTAAATGTACATACAGTACATGTATTGTACTGAACATACCAATTAGAGATCTATAATGAATAACTATGAATAACTGAGTGAAAAGAACACGAATAATTCCATTTACTTTATCGTCACATACTGAAGAAGATGCAACCTTAACGTGTGTCTATGTTTACGCTTAACGAGTTGATGGTGTAAATACCGAGCTACATGAGTACATAAATTAAATTAATACGTGAAACATGCAACTATTTTTCACATTGGGTAGTCGAGGGGTGGATGCCCGGTCACTATAGTATGGCGTTTCCTTTTCTTGCAATGGTAGAACCGTGTTTATGATCACACATGTGTAATGTTGTTTATCCCCGTGTTTTGCACGGTATATGCTATGACGCAGTAGTTACTATATACAGAGTCGCATTCTTGCTTGGTAGAGACAGTTCATTGAGGTCTCCAGGCGCCGTTATCGATTGTTATTTCCATTATCATAACAATTAACGACAGGTATGGCCCCAACCAAAAGAAGAAAAACAAACAAATGCCTGAACACATTACTGTACGGCCAAAGATAATATAACACTAAAATTAGATATAATGGTTATTTGTGTCCATGGCCAACAACCTTGTTCACAGTGTGTGACGCTAATATGCCCACATGAGACGTAGAGTTCAGATCAGACAAGGGGACATTTAACATATGGCCCAATAACTTCAAACATTTAAACGTGAATGGTCGTGCTATAAACTCATTTTACTACTCGTGCGGTTGATGCAATTATTTTTTAAACGACTTACGTTCTGACAAATTCTCTAACCTGAAAGTCAATTTAAATTAACCACGGATCTCCCAACGGTTTTTAATTTCTAATCCACAATGCGTAGCAGATATTAAACATAAGTACATAGTGGAAAGTAACAACAGTTGGCTATGACAGTGAAAGAGCTGACCTGATATCCTTGACATTGGCATGTGTCTTGCAATTAAGACAACCACGCTTGATTCCACACAATCTCGTTTAATATGAGTCGTTGCCGCGTCCGTATTGGAACTATGATGTGTTTGTCGCCTCAGGTGATAGTCAATAGTAAATACTTGCTACTGAGATTTTCTAGCATCCATGCAACGATTGTTGCCACAGTTATCTATTTATTCGGACGTGTGCGTCTCCAGACAGGTCGCAATTGATATTCTACTCCACCGTTATTATCTGGAATGTTGTTAATCTATTGTACGTATGCCCGACTAAGCCCGAGGATATTATGTTTTCAGGTGTCGGCTGTAATACCAATAACACCTACACACTTTCCAACAAAGCAAAGGAGAAAATCTTTGAAGCGGAAGAATGTAAGTTGTAACAAATACGCAGTAAATTATCATCAATTGTGAAAACTGCTACAAAATTCTAAGTATAATAGCCAATAAAAATCATGACATGATTATACACGTCGTAATGAAACAAGGACTCGTTAAAACAATATATGTATTCATTTCTTTACTTTTTTCCTACATTGCATAACAATAATATTTGTATTATTCTCTAGCAAACCTATATTATATAATTATATTGTTATTATTTCTTTCACTTCTGTTCATGATAATTTTGCTGTAAATGTCTTATTTCCGAAAATATGTGTATTTTTTTGTTTGTTATAAACTTATAATTTTTTTTCTGTAATTTCAAGTTCAGGTAGATTTGTTTGAAAAAAATTCTCTGTGGATACCTACTGCGATATAGTATCTAAGTTGCTAATGCAACCCCCTTTCCCAACAATTATAGATACCTCGTGTTGTAGTCGATTTTGGTGCGGACCAGCACGTCGGTTTGACATGGCCATCAAAAACGAAGAGGGAGAAAAGATTCTGCATTTTGTAAGACCTGTTCGATGTGATGCGTGTTTCTGTTGCTGTTGTCTCGAGAAAATCATGATTCAGACTCCCATGGGAGATGTTTTGGGTTACGTTAAACAAAAGTGAGTAACATACAATGTGTATTTGTTTTGAGAGGTTTTGTAGTCCTACTATATCATGGAGATTGTCCCCTTTTATATGTAATTACGGGACCCCACTGACAACGCAACGGCAAATTAAAGGTAACACGCCCAAACGCGATTTGCTAGTGTATTCAGTCAACCTCTCAGTTACTGCACGTGTGTCTATTACAATGTATACAATTTCTGAGAGCTTGAATAAATATGTAGGAGACATGACCGTTTTGTAACGTTGTTTGCTTATCGGGTCATACATCATGCGCAAGGGTGATACTACATTGGGCATTCAGATAGATAGCTGACTTATTCACAATGGCCTCAGAGGCAAGAGACGAACTTACAAAATGCGCATTGAAGGTTGAAATCCCCGATGAGTTTGGAGACGTTCTTCTGATTTTCACCCCAAGATTTCGTACTAAACTAAGATTAGATAATTCTTCATTACCATCATAAAAATTAGGATATAGTTTTTTAAAATTGAAAGTGGGTCAGTTTATTGAATGTGTTCTTGTAATAAGAGGTAATTGGCGGTGATGAGAATGAAAATTAATTTATTTTGGTTTTCTTTCTTCTCGTTTAATTATGCATGTGTAACATTTATTGTTTTTTTGACCGCTCTTGTCTAAAAGCAGCTTGATTTTTACGAATACTTCAAGAAATTTTCATAATCGATTTTTTAGAATCATTGTAAACACTGTTTTAATAGTGCAATTAGTAGAAATACCTACGTAATCATCAGGCGTTATCTGTGGTGATACTGGTATTCTCGGGCGAGCTGGCTGTATAATGATTTTTTAACTAAATATAAATAAAATTCTGGTCCATAATTTGGGTAACATTCGATCTCCCTTCTCCCACAACAAAACATTGAAGGCGATGCATACACTTATCCAAAATATTACTGATAATAAATTATAGTTAAATATAATTTGAGTAGCAAATAATGGCAGAGAGTGATTTAATGATTTGATTTGTTTAAATTGGCATATTAATTAAAAATTTTGTTCCATACACTAACAACTCAACTTAAGCCAAACTACGACAACTTATTAGATTTTTGTATGCATAAAATAAACAAAAGTTATGCATACTACTTCGAACTTTGAGTTATATCCGTATTTCAGCTTCCACCATTGGCACATGTTTAACATTTGGTATTGATATTGCGTTTGATCCACTGGGCATTTGGTCATTCACATTTTAAACTGACCATTGTTAATCGGAATATAAACTATTTATCGGCATAAATATTTTAGCATTACACGGAGAATACGCCCGCCTTCAGATGGTTCGAGTCAACGTTGATTATTGTAATTCGTCATTCAGATTCATTTCATCTTTCACGTCCCGTATATTGATAATATGCACCCTCAATACAATTTCACACATAGATGGACTTTTTGTGGTGCAACATTAAATGTACTGAATAGTGAAGAAGAACTCTATTATACGATAAAGAGTCCAGCGTGTCCGTGTAGGTGTTATACAGATCTCTTTTTCCCGGTAAGATTACGAATCCATATCCTAGTCAGTATCTTACGTGAACTATTTATTGGGTTTGTGATGGATTACAGAGAATCAACAATAAAGGCGGTTATTAAGAAAATTAAGTATGTCTGAGACATAATAATGCCATATCGTAATTCCGCCAGCCACATCATGACATCCATGCTTATTTAAATGCAGACATGCATGTCCGAGACATCCATTTCGTCAGCTAATACCACCAGTTACATATATGTTCGTGGAATGGCTTATTGGTATTACTATAATTATTTTATTATTTCCTCCAGATCGAAGACGATCAAGGCGAAGAGGTGGGAATGATACGTAAACAGTGGGGTGGCAAAAAGCTTTATGCGAACATGGACCATGAAAATTACGTAATTGAATGTATGTATCTCAAGTAATAATGCAAACGCTTATAGATATTGTCAAGTTATTTATATATACACATGTGTGAACATATATTATCATATTCACTATTTCAAATATAGAGTATACCACTATTATAACAATGATACCAATTCCAAGCAGCAATATTACGGGATCATAGTATATATTACAGTGTATGCAACTCAGTTACCACGTTTCATTGCGCTTAAAATGACATGATACTTATTTTTTTCACCGTTTTTAATTGTAGTTCCAGAAGACGCGGACATTAAAATGAAAGCCATAATACTAGGAGGGGCATTCCTTGTGGTAAGTACGTAAATACATGTCACACGAGGTCAAGTGAACTTTTCACATATACACTATCTATACATTATGTATTGTGTGAACAGCAGTGCGACTGCCGACTTGAATAGCAACGTGGCGACAACAGAAAAGAAAGCAGTAAACATACTCAACCGTAACAAAGAAATATACCAGTTATGACGTAAATCACTAAAATACTCATAACAGTATATGGTAGTTCTGCAAACCAAAAGTTGCATTCCCACTTTACAAATTTGTCAAACGTCACTACAAGAACAAACTAAAAACATAAATTTTGCAAAAAGTACGTTATTTTTTTCTAGCATAAATATAGATATTCAGCTTTTAACTGTTCACACATTTTATTTTGAGGGTACTGTTTTCTCACCTTTTAGACAAACTTACCTACAAAGTAACTGACTTCAAGGTCAAATCAAGCAATCTAATTACTCGTACACAATGTAGTGTATATTTGTCACAAATTTGCAAAGTAAGAGGGCAACTCAAAGGTTATACATGGTTTATCTCTATCTTCCGCCCATAGTCATATATCTCATTATTTTGTGTTTTACAGAATTACATGTACTTTGAAATGACATGAAGAACCATGCATTTTGAGCAGAAGGGTTACAATGGCTGACTATGACTATTGCTGAATGGAGACATTTGCAACAAGTTTTTGACACTGAATATATATGTATATATATATATATATACTTAAGTTGACTTCCCAACGAATTTGACATATATTCTATTCATAAAAAATAAAGTTTTACTCATAGGTCATACAACAGACAAATAAATGGACATCGAGACATTGATCAATCTTCTCTGTGCAACAAAAGTTGGGTTTCCAGGTCATAACTCCAAAACAGATGAGTATTATGACAATATTACCGGTATTAGTACTCATCCCTTCCCACAAATATATCAAATACATCAAATTAGCAAACCTTGTTATACAAGAGGTATTTCGAATTATGGCTTTGACTTTGATTTAAATCAGAGGTTGACTGACCTGTAACTTGAATAAATATATTGAGAACATGTTATAGATGATTTAATTTATGCAATCAAAACAGAAATGTTTGTTTCATTTCAAAAATACCCTTAGTTTATTACAAAACTATTTTACAATACAACTAATACCCTACTATTAGATTTGTCTTTCTTTAATCAATCACATACAATTGTGAAAATGTCATTTATTTGAAAACATTTACAGTAATTTTTCTCTACAAATAAATCATCTTTACCATTTCACAGATGTAAAATAAGGATGTTTGTTTTTCTGTACCAAGGAGGGATATACAGACAATCTTTGTTGTTCAACAGAGTACATTTACAGTAATTGATAGGCATTCACCATAGTTTGGGGCACGCAACAATTACAATAATGAATCTTCAATTCTTGGTGTAATACAATCATTAACGAGTAGCTCAGAAAGTGCATGTGATAAATGACATATTGAAAATTTTTCTTTGAAGGGGAAATGTATACTAATCTACTCAATTCATCAGGTCTACCAACTATACAAGAATGGCGTCCATACGAGTCAAAGAAGGGAATAACAGTGTATTGAACAGTTCTACTCAACTTTCACAAAGATATTACAAAACCGAGCATTGTATTTTTTCAAAAGATAAGTTTATTTTTTCATTTTGAAAACAATTTTTTACATGGCAACTTTTTTTCAACTGTACTAGAATGAAAGGTATATTGAAAACAACAATAAAAATAGCTTTCAACGAAAGCTATGCACAGTACTTTGTTAAGTTGTTTCCTGGGACAACACCACCCCCTCTCCCCCCAACATACCAGATCACTGGGAGACACAATAAGGCGACTGACTGTGAAACAATCTTGTGATATCTGTGGTCGAGTAAGATGAATAATCCGTTCAATCTAAGTATTGCAGCATTACATATCAAGTTATCCAATGTTGTTATGTAATGGAACACTCAGATATATGATTTTACATCTGCTCATTTCAAATTCCTTCAACACTATCCACAAATCAAAAAACTCCAATTGAAGTTATTGTATATCAATCATATCTGTAATGTGAAGTCCAAAATGAGCCATAATGAAGATACACAGTAAGGGAAAATATTTACAACTAAAGTAACAGATCTCACATGGAAAGAGCTTAAAAACGGAGAAAGCCATTTACTATACTTTTTTTCGCAGCCATTTTATAACAAGCTTTTTCCAGAAAGATGACATCAACTGAAAGAGCGATAAAACTTTTATACCCAAACATGTATGCATATTTCTGTTACTATAGCAATAACTTAATACATACTGTTATATCTTGTACTGAATCTGCATTATGGTAGTCATTCATTTTTTATTTTATATTTCCAACTTCAGATAATTTTACAGGGCGGGGAATAACAGTTTCCTTTTTCAGAAAAGTTAATTAACATTTACTTAACCAACATATTACAATGGCTTTTGTTTAAATCAGTTCTGCATTGTACAAGGGATGATTGTAGTCAGTGAAATAGTTCAGATATCAAAAACATGATAACGGATTAACTGACGTACATATGTACAGCTCAATGCTATTAATACGTTGTGACAATAGAAAAGAGCTGGGTCCTTCCTATTGGCAGTGTTTATCTCATGAAAATGTCAGTGTTTCTGAAGCTTGAATTATCCCTGTGTGAAAGAAAAGAAAATTGCATTAGGCATTTTATATATTATCATTACACTCGACGTTGTCTAGACAAGTAATTATACCTCTGATTTTATTCATGTTAAAGCCGGGGGAGTCGTCACCTGCGCATGCGTCAGATGACCATAGCGTGTCATTGTTTACAAACAAGCATCTACCCATGAGCCTTTGCTTTTTTTAATGTGTGTTGTTATCATCGCTTAGGACTCAATTCCTGCACGTGCACAGGTGACAACCCTCCTGCTTCAACCACTAACACTTAGACTTGATATTTAAGCATACAATTAATGTAATTACATGTCTGCAAGCCCCGAAATAAGTTGATAAAACAGCTTACGAGTCATCCAGGCACTTGTAACAATGCAAAAACGCATTGGTCTGTTTCATCTGTATGTGCAAGATTCTCATGCGAGAACAGATTATCCATTCTGAGTTGTATCCATTACTTGTGTATTAGCATATAAGACAAACTATTGAAACTGCATCAAATAGGTTTGTTTCGTTATCTCGTGTAGTATCACGTTTATCTCAAATAAATTTGTCTGAGATGCCAATTTTTTTCCCATCATGAAACTGCCTTGATCACCCTTAATTTAACATTACAGGCAAATGAATGATTATATTAAGAAATGTATCAGTCTGTTAAAATTGATCTGAATCAATATTTAAGAGGGTTATACAATGTATGTAGATATCTAAAAGTTAGGAAGTCATCACCTGCGCATGCAGAGAACTGTCATACCGTGTGGTTTTTCACAAACAAGTGTCTACCCATAAGCCTTTGCGTTTTTAATGTAGTAAAGTTCCGTAGCTGAAGGCATCTATATATAAAATTACTTACTTTAGACTGTCGTTATGTGTTTTGTATTCCATTATAGTGTTGGGTGGTAGGTTCAGCACTCGTCTTAAAGTGTCTCGAATCCTGTTCGTAGTCGCTTGATCATTGGCAGTTTTATTCCATATTGAAATTATGTCTTCCTACATAACAAAAGCATGAGTAATGTAAACAAGTCTTTAAAGGTTACGAAAACATAGTCAAACCCCCTAAAGGCAGTTTTATTTTCATATTGAAATCTTGTCTCCATGTAACGAAAGCAGAAGTAGCGTAAACAAGACTTCAAAGGTTACAAAAACATAAAAATCGATTCAAAGACTAACAAATCTCTAATTTGAAAGTGAGTCAACACAAGCTTTCACTTACCTGGAATCGTATAGACACAACAGCACCACAGATCTCTTCTCCAACCATAAACTGTTCGCCAAGCATAGCCAGTATCAGATTTTCCCAGCATCTTGAAGCAAGTCCTTTTTTCAGTCGAACTATCCATTTTCCACCACCTTTATTTGCATCATGCTGTTGAACAGAAACAAAATAATTATAATTTAGATTATAATGCATAAACTCCAACAGAAACCTGTTGCATTAACCATGATCTCTGACACTAAAAATACACATTTTTGTGCAGAAAAATAATTTATGACCAAATATTAGAAAAATAGTTAATTTCAGCAGTATCAGCATGAAATGAACAAAGAATCAGTTTTTGGTAAAAATTAATCTTACATGTACCGGTAAAATGTTATAAACACCACAAATCATAAACATGGCCCATAAGCGTATTAATTACATTCTCATCCATTGAGTTGTTCTTGAGATGCTGAATATTGCAGAAAAGGTGGACTAAAATAAGCCGTATATTATTAAAATCTATAGACTTGCACGACCTGTTTACTGTCCCTATTGTTACAGCTAGGATTGCCCTTTTAATCAATATGCTTATTAACTCTACTGTAATTTTTTGGGCTTGGACAATTATGTTCAAACTTGACAGGCAGGTCACACCTGCACTCCAATTAGATAGAAAAATCTGAACAAATTCCTGCACCACTATTGCCATGCAACAGTGAAAAATGATTGTCTCACCCCCTACGAATCATGGAGTAAATATCTCTTTCTACTTTGCTTGAGTGTGTGTCCAAAGTTACTATTTTGTTTCTGAGTTGAGGGCAGTGCTTCCACTGCGTCAACACTATGCATTACAACAAATTTCCCAATGACAAAATATAAACACTTCCAGTCTAACAAACATTTAACTTTACTGAGTCTTGGACTGCATTGAATGTTTAAGTTCATTAAGTGTTCAAGTCTTACAAGCAAGTTCATAAAGTAATCAGCCCAATGCGAGTATTGTCAGGCCTAGCAGAGAGCCTTTCAGTCTACTAAATTATCTGTGATTATTTGCCTCTACTGACTTTGTTCAAAATTGATAAGCTGGTCACACCTGTATTTAGGTGAAAAAATTCCCCAAAATTCCTATACTACCATTGCCATGGCAATGGTCAACAAAATAATTGTTGGCATCTCCCAGTGGATCGCCAATCATCTTACTGGCTGGTGATTTTTTTTTTGTGTGTGTGCGAACAAAAAGAAAATAATTTTTGTTGATTCAATAAATAGTGTTACATTTTTTTGTCGATAAAAACAGATAATTTGCCTCGATATGATCCAAGATTTACAGGTTGAGAAGACTTTCATGCACCCTTCAGTGTCATTTCAATTGAGCTTTGTACACTGTACGCAAATCTGCCAACAGATAACATTGTGACATCCTAGTTACACTTATGGCCAGATACCATATTATTTACAATGGTTTTAAAATATTAGTAGTAATTGCAAGTCATATTTAAGTGTGGTATTACACTCTGTGAATATATAAATGAAGGAAAAATACCTTAAATTTTACTATTAAAATCCAATGATATCATAAATGTCCTATTGTGAAAGCCGTAAGAATTTAAATATTCAATTGTCTTTCTAAGCAGGGATCTACTAGTCACAAGAAATCACGGCTGCTCATTCTTTTAGAGAAAATTTCAAGCCTACTGAATTTGACTATGATATAAACACTGTATTTGCTTTATTAGAGCATATAAACCGAAAATTGCACTTTATATTTGCTTGGAACTAATTTTTGCTATTTTTGCTGAAGGAATGATTCAGTGAAAATAATTCCTATATTTTACATTCAAGTCATAAAAAAACAGTGAAAATAAATTTCATACAAAACACCCAAAAAAAGTCTTTTCAGCGAAAATTAATTCCAGTTAAAATAAAGTATTTACAGTATTGAATTATTAATATATCACTTATTTTGATCACGTTATTTGCGCAAGTGCATGTGCTACTAATATATAGAGACAATACAGTATTTGTTCTTCTGTGATCCCTGTGGGTGCTACTATTTGCATACTGAATTTAAAACATTGACATAAACGACTTCTCACCTCCCACATTGGTTTTATGCCTTCTTTAAAAAGATGAAAATCACTATGGCCAGATAGATCACACGGTCGAACACAATGACTGTACAGTGCCCAAAACTGTTCAACCTGAAAATGGGAAAACGAAATCGAAAAAGACACAAATAAGATAAATAATGCCATTGCCATGCAGACTGGATAAATGATGTGCCGAGTCACATTCTCAGTACCTGTTCAGAGGTCAAAATAGGTTTATTTTTTGGTAACAAGACAGTTTGAAAGCTTCACCTGAAAAAAAAAATGAAAGTTTAAATACACGTCAATTGATTTAGAAAAGCGGAATAATACTTACTGAGCAAAAAGAACCGACCAACTTAATATTTTGTTCATAGTTAGTTGATGAAGTTTTATTTCCTGGTGTTCGCCTTGAGAACCATAAAGAATACGCATACTGCAGTCTGTGTTCACCAGGACTAGGCTTTACTGGACCCTGTTGAATTCAAAATCAATAGTTATAACAAGCAGCCTGTCGCCTGAGATAGCTCCGCTGTTAGCAATGCACATTTCAATTAAAGAACAGAAGATATTATTAGAAAATGAACAATATGTATAGTATCAAAGCAACGGTACTACAAAAATGACAAAAATAATCATCAAAATTAGATAATTGAAGATATCACCACGAAATTAACAAATCTGAGAGAGGTCCACATGTAGTACCTATACATGTACATGTAATATCAAAGCAATTGGACTTGCGGTTTTTAACAAGAAGTCAAAAATATCACTTTTTACCAAAAATGACAAAAATATTCATCAAAATTAGATAATTGAAGATATCACCACGAAATTAACAAATCTGAGAGAGGTCCACATGCAGTACCTATATATGTAATATCAAAGCAATTGGACTTGCGGTTTTTAACGAGAAGTCAAAAATATCACTTTTTACCAAAAATGACAAAATATTCATCAAAATTAGAGAATTAAAGTTATCATTACAAAATGAACAAATCAGAGAGAAGTCCACATGTAGTACCTATATATCTAATTTTTTGACATGAAATGAACAAATCTGAGAAAGAACCATCCAAAGTACTTGCATATCAAATTTGAAAACTTTCTGACTTGCGGTTTTGAAGAAGAAGTTGAAATTGTAAAGTTGACGACGACGGACAACCAGTAATATGAACAGCTCCGCTGTGTTGACTTTGTCTTGAAATTGCATTAAATCAGTTTTAATGGTATTCAACTCTTGTACTACTGAGTATGTTACTGCCAGTACATACATGCAATGATTATGGGAGAGAACTTCCCATTGTAGATAATGCAAAACAATTAGTCAATTGGAAATTGACAATTTAAATGACCAAATACTTGAAATTGTTAACAATATTAGCATTATTATCAATTATTATACATCTGTCACTGTAATGCAATAAGTTACAGCGTGTTGTGATTTTGTTGTATTTCATGGGGTATTTTCATTCTATCAAATTAGGAAATGCGAATTCCAAATATGGAATGATTACGCGCGTAAGCGTTCTCTATAATGAAAAAACAAACATGGCTACCACGAGGGTTTGATCGAACTCCACACAAAGAAGTTCGCTGATTCTGTTCTAAACATTTTGGATTTCGGCATTCTAATGATGTATCCTTGGACGTATAATAATAAGCTTATTACGAGGATACCTCAAAGTATGCACTCAGACAGTACACCATCACATCGACCTCCGCTGTGCGTCGGTTGATATCCTGTGGTACTGTCTTCGTGCATACTTTGAAGAATCCTCGTAATAAGCTCATATGATAATAAGCTCATATGATAATAACCGTTTCGCAAAACTTTGAGATATGAAGAAATAATTTCACCATAGAAACCAGAGCAAAAATTCAAATTTCAAGTCTTTTCTATGATATTTCAGACTTTTGTTTCTCAAAAAATTGATCAGTGACTCCAATTTTTGGTATCAAAATTGTGTGAAATATAATAATGAAAGCATGAACAAGATGACATATAACCTTCAATTCAACTTAAAAATCAGTAAAACTAAACCGATTTATTCTCCAGTTTTAAAGTACCATATTTACCATATTAGAAGCGTAACACCAATGGAACTTCCACATAAACCAAAATTGCATTTACTGAAAGCTAGATTATTAAAATACAGCACACCTCTTGCATTTGCGTAAGAGTATGAACTACTATTAAAACAAAATACAGTATTTGGGTGTTTGTTTAAGAGAGGAAGCACATTTAAGAGAGGAAGAGGAAGCACATTGTTTGTTTTTGGTTTCTTCACATCTGTATTGCATTTTAGTTAAAATCCTAATGGGGATACGAACGCTATACAGATATTTATTATTATTATTCAAATATGGCCACCTACCCGTTGTACAACCCGTGACAACTTTTTATGATCCGCAATCTCTGTTTCTTCTTTGTCTTCACCACTGTCATCATCCTTAAGTCTTGAAAACAAATATATGAAATAAATATCTTCTGCATAAGTAGCAGTATTCAATATACACAGCAACATGACAAGCACATTGTTCGGATTAGAATGTCATAATTTCAATTGGTCAACTGTTTTCTCAAGTCTTGTTTACAGATTATATTCTTCCATACATGTAGGTGTATGATTCTGTACACTCATCATCCCTGTGATTTGCTGCCATGAGGGAAGTGTCCTGGGGAGTTTTACACATGGTAATGTTCCAAGACTTTATGTATCAGGATCATCAGAAGACAATGATTTTATAGTGACAAGTATAAGCTTCAAGTTTCACAATGACATGTGGTATTTTATTTTAGTCTACTTAGGATAGTTGGAATTTACAGTGGAACCGCTATATACTAGCCTGCTTACTGCCCTATTATTTTGTGGGTCCTTTGAATATGTGAAATAATAGAAAGGTAACCAGGGCGGCTACTATATACTGGTATTGTTCTGTTGGATCCAACGAGGGTTAAGACTCGATGATAATAAATGTAAAACAGCTGCATTTATATAGTCATACACAGTAATCCCACACTATCTGCAGAGCAAAGTGCACCGTAAAGCGTGGTGGTCGTTGCACAGCGCGTGTTCGAATTTCATGTAAATAAACAATGTATTTTACATGCGTTGTATAGATCACTACAAGTCCCAAGTCGAACAGGACGCGGCATGACGACTACTGCCCTTTAACATTAACAAAATGTGTTTACTTCCATGACTGGATGGAGATTGCAACATGCGATATTATTAACCATAATTATCAACAATCCTCAAATAAAAGTTGACATGCAGTGTCACATTGTGCTGTTGGTATTTGATTTAAAAAAAAAAACTAAACTGATAGCTGATATCAATTTTGACTTTTCATTACGATGTACTTGTCGGCATAGAACTACATGTACTAGGGTCATGATCAGGATATTAGGCAGGAATTTACAACTGCGCCAGTCCAAAACAATTCAACTTCATGAAAATGTGTAGATGGTTTTGAATAGATTTTGGTAAAATTATCAAATAATAATATAAAAGAACAGAAAAATGGGAAAAAGTTGCCAGTCCGTTTGATGGGTGGACTGGTGGCTGGCTAACACCCTGGCCATGATGCATGCTCGATTAATTGGTATTGCTATGATGTCCATGCTGTCTCTATACTGTTTGAAACAGATGTCTCAAAAATGTAACTGTGGTTAAATTCGTAAAACACATGGCGGGTGGCGGGGGGGGGGGTTATTACAACACACTTGAACTATATCAGCAAACTGGCATAGTGAATAAATATGGTACGTTGTACCTATATTGTCGAAGAAGAGGCATAGAAACTCGTTGATATCAACAGCACAGGTCCAAAGATATGTAAATGACCCGGTTACGTCAGAATATTCAAACAGATAAACAATTCATGAGAACTGAACAGGTGAACTCTACCACTCAGAGGGGAGATGGAACGCAAACAAAATACCTGATGTAGGAATGCCATTGATTGATTACGCCGGTGATTATAATAGAAGAAAACTAAGGATACTTACGCATCGAATTTGTTATTCATCATAGGTAATATATGTAAATAAATAGATTAAAAATAGAAAATATCTACAAATTGTAAAAAATTCTAGCTTCAGCGCTTCGCTTTAGTAAACCATCTTAGAACGCATGCGCAAATTTTTTGTTATAACACCGTCAGTGATTTGTCGTAGTTGACCCTTTAATTTGTAACGCCCAAGCTTATTGGTCAAATTACCCAGGTCATCAGATCTAAAATGGCGACCTACATCAGCACAAAAGCGAAATTGTTGTCGCTTGTAGAAGAAGCGGAATCTTTAACGAAGTAAGTTTGATTTTCATTGTAATTACGCTTTCCAGGATTATAGTATTTACATTCTTCGCGATAGAAATGTTTATGTGGTGCGCGTATTCTTACAACTCCGAAACTAGGCAAACGGGAGTGCAGTTGTATAACAATGGTAATTTGTAAACAAAACATTGACTTTGGTCTAGTCATGGAGCTAGCTTTGGCAGACGGACCGGAACAGGAAGTCAATAGAAAACAAAAGATTGTTTCGTTAGTATGGGGGAAATTTGGTTAGCACGGGGAAAACAGAAGTGTTAATCCGAAAATTGTCTTTTCCTGTTTGTGATTGGTCCAGGCAAAGTTTGGGGGATCGTGACGTAGCTCCGACTGTGAGAATAGCAAAGAAAGAAAATGGAATTGCTTGTAGAAGAATACGAAATTGGTTGGTTTGTTGTTGTAACATTGTACTAAAAAAATGTTACACAACATTAATAATAATAATAACTATATTGCATCCGTGTAAAAAGATTTGTAACTAGTATTCAAATGTTAAATAAATCTTTGTGTTGTGTAAATATAATTGGCAAGTGCTATAATTATCCCAGGATCTTTGCTTGAGAGTATATATGTGAACTGTATATTTTCATTTTTGGATGAAAGTAGTGTCATAATTTTTTGGATGAAGTTTTCCCTGTGTGTGTTATATTTTGGGCAATTCAATAGAAAATTGTCTTCATCTTCAATTGAATTTGTGTCACAGTTATTCCATGGTTATTGCATATATTTTTGTCATTTACAGAGAATTATCTGAAAGTACTGGGGGCAGAACACAGAGACCAACGAATCCAGAGGAACCACAGGTAATTATCTTGCCTTAGTTTATTGGAGAAATATTGCATTTTTATTCACTCTGTATTTTGATGCAGTTACACGTTTCATGGTAATTATTGTAGCACTACACGACACAACACAACTTGTCTCTCAAGTTAATATCTTGCATATATATATAGCTAATTGATGCGTTGGTCAAGAAAGATGAAGAGATTCGTGCAACACTTAAGCAAGCCGAGGCTCAGGGAGAAAGGCAAAAAGAAATGGAACAATTGCAGGAGCAGGTTGACAAGCGAGATCAAGATATAAAGCAACTACAGAAGCAACTCAAAGAGGCTGAACACACTTTGGTAAGTTCACTGTATTTCTCTGTTTTCCATGAGACATTCAAACAAGTACTACTGTAAAATCTGTATTAAAAACCGTGGCTTCTATTAAAATGGTACAATGCAACAGAGGGGATGCGGCTTTTATTAGAGCATCTACACATGAGAAATGATTAATTTTTGGTTCTCAATTATTCAAAAAAATGGGTGCAACTTCTATTATCGATGCAGCTTCTAATACAGATTTTACGGTACTACTTTCCAGAGTAGTCTGCTTTTGTTAAAGCTCTGTGTTTGGTAAATCACCCTAACAGATTTATATTTGGCTTTTCTGCACCTATTCTGAAGATGACACTTTTTCAAGTCCAGTCAATTTAATGCCCAATCATTTGTAACACTTGTATTTTTACTACAGGCAACTGCCATATACCAGGCCAAGGAAAAATTGAAAGCTATTGAACAAGCAAGTACACACAGTATACCAGTGGATGATCTCATCAAATATGCCCACCATATTAGTGCAACAAACTCAGTTACAGCACCAATGAGTTGGGCGCCAGGTGAGAAAAATAACTTTACCATAATACATGTAATAATAATGATTGCCAAAAACAACAAAAACAACACTTGTATCCCTTGTATCTGGTACATGCGTCTTTAGCCGCACAGACTAGGTGTCTAACCAGTGATGTAATTTGTGTAATTTAGTTCTGAAATAACCAGATTAAACCAATCAGAAACTACAGATATACAGATGACACTTATCAGAAAGAAAACTATTGTCTGCATCGTTGTTATATTTTTCAAACTGTTATTGTTAAATATTTCATGATGTCATGAGGTGTATCATTGAGTTGTCATTGGAAAAAATAGGCTACATAAAACTTGGCAACGAGTTTGTTGTCTGCTTTGCTGGAAGGTGCAGTCTGTGTGTTTAGTTTACTAAAATAGCAATAACAGATCTGAATACTGACACCTAACATTATTATACATCTGTCACTGTAACGCCATAAGTTACAGTGTGCCATAATTTTGCGGTATTTTACGGGTTACTTTCATCCCACCAAATTAGGAAAACGATTATGCGTGTAAGTGTCCTCTAATAATAAAAACAAATATGGCTGCCACCGGGGTTTGACCGGACTCCACACAAAGAAGGTTGCTGATTCTGTTCTAAACATTTTGGATTTCGGAATTCCCAAGATGTTTCCTTGGAAGGAAAAGATGTGTAATAAGTTATTACGAGAATACCTCAATGTATGCACTCAGACAGTATGCCGCGCATCAACCGGCGCTGCGTGTCTGTCAATACTCAAGCTTACTTGTACAGTAGAACACACTTCAAAGGGTGCTTTTGATCTGAAACCTAAAATTAGTTCAAATAATGTGATGTATACGAATGCAAGGAACACAGCTGAAATTGTTGTTTTTCACTGCAGGAGATCCAAGACGGCCGTACCCTACAGACATGGAAATGAGAATGGGCATCTTGGGTAAAATGAGTAATCTACCAACGGTCACAAATGGTCATCAAAATGGAACTACAGAAGGTGCCACACCACTTGGTATGCTTAACACAGGTTAGTTCTTCAATTTGAAATCAGACTATTGTTTGAATCACAAAGTACTCTAAACTACTTAAATTTTTCACTAAAGTTGTTGAGTTGTGGCTGTCATAATATTTGAACCCAGTGAAACAATGCTAGTAGTGATAAAAAAAAAAAAGATTTGCTTGTTATCATTGCACGCATGATTTGTGCCTCTAGAGTTTCCCATTCTAGTAAAGTGTGCCATGTGTGATAGAATGAGGAAATTAATTTTTTCTATTTAAAGAGAAAAAGAAATGCACATCTACAATTTTTTTCAATTTCTCCTGAGACAAGGAGCAAAACCTTTTTATTCCTAGCTTTGAGAAAAAACGTGATCATGCTGCAAAATACTTTTCATATTCATTCAGTTTGAATGTGTACTAGTTTTAAAGCTGGGAGTCGTTACCTGCGCATGCGTCTGATGATATTTTTAGTGTGTGTTGTTATCGTCACTTGGTACTTCATTCCCACACTTGCGCAGGTGATGACCCTCCCACTTTAATGCTAAGTATTGGTTTTGAATTTTTATTAAATTTTCTTTCAAATAGCATCAACACATCCATCAGGGTTGACATGGCAACCGTCAACAGACATGTCTTCGTCAACATTGACACATAACAATGAGAGCATAACGAACATGGATTTGAGTATGGGTCCGAATAAAGATAACGAAGATGATGTTGAAATCATGTCAACTGAATCAAGTAGTAGCAGCTCTAGTGACAGTCAATAGCATTCGTACCAAGGCGAGGTTGTTGCAATTCACCATTGAGTCATCAAAGTACTGATATAATGAAGTGAGGACTCATCGATACTGAGTATGTCTCGTAGCCTGTCTTAGAATAATACTCTGATTGGACCTAGTGTACAGAAGTGGTATATAAAAGACTGGCTAACATTGATGGTTTGATATTTCAGCAACATTGATAAAAATATCGAAGGTTTTAAGATTCTGGTTTTAGAGCAAAACGTATAATATAATGTGTATATTTCATATGAGCAATTTCGTTTTTGCTATGGTGATATTTATAAGAGCATGATGTTGAACTTTGCTCTGTAATACATACTGAGTATGAAGTTAGGAGTGAGCAGAGCTTTCACTGAGACAATTTAAGTGATATATTAAAGGAATGTTTTTATTTCAAGATAAGAGGGCATGTTGAGATTACAATGGGCTTTTTTTTGCTTTAGATGAAATAAATACCGCCATCTATAGTTCATAAGACCTATTTCTTTCTTTTTTTAGTCTCTATTGAACAAATTCTAAAACAGGGACTTCTGTTCATTCATAATCATACTTGGACTAATTTTGTTAAAAGACAAGAAATATTGGTATACATGAATAATGTTTTGTCGATCTTTGACTTGATGTCTCTAGCTCAGCTTGGCCATTGCGCAAATCTTTTATTAACCCAAAGTACCTAATATAAATCTACATACTTTTTACTAGCAGATATGGTTTTGTAAATGTAACCAGTACACAGCTACCATATTTGGTCGTATTAGAAGCACATCTATGAAAGTGTACATAACCTGGAAATTGCATTAAAATATGATTCAATCAGACACAACGAATACGCAACTAATTGAGCAAATATCTGTAAATGTTCTTCATGCAGAACGCGATGTACATTTTTTAAAAATTCAAATGGATATGCCAAACATCCATACTAAATTAATTAAGGATATTCTTAACAATTGGTTGTTCTTGAGTAGATGAAACAAACCATTTGGCCTGTTAGCTGCCATGTGATGAGGAGTGAATTACATTACCTGACAATAGGCAAATTAAATTTTGCAAGCGAGAAATCAACCTCCCATTTCTAGCATCTGATGGTGCTGTAATACCAGCTCCTTTGAGTTGAATTTAACATTCTGATCACATTTATTACCTAGACTAAATTTCTACTAGTCTTGATCAATTTTTTTTTCACATTATTTTGGTTTGTGAAAGGTTGTTTTTGGCATTCTAAGATTTACCTAATCAATGTTGTAATGATGATGTCCCGTTGGCTATCCATGGATGCTTCCAGAGGGCAATGTGTTAAGCTTTATGAATAACATAAACCATGGTTTATTATTTGTAAAATGAAAAGAAAGACAAACAGACAGACAGACAGACAGACAGTTGTAACAAATTGTTGTTGTATTCACTTTTACATGTATATTCACTGCCTCCATTTTAAAATAAAACTGAAATGTTTTATTAAGGCATTTTTTGCTCAGTTTTGTAATTTGTTGTTAAAAATCAGCCTCAGATTTAAGTTGTGTTTTCCATAAAGTCTATTTTGAATAATATTAAAGCCTTCTACCAGCTATTTGATCAATTTTCTGGCTTTTATTGTACCTGGCCAAATACACTACTGTATTCATCTGAAAGATCACCCATGGGCGATGTTTTGGTGCTGCAGGAACAAATAAATATTGTAAATGTAAAAATGCATTTGTTTGCGAGTCAGGGAAGTCTGCTAATTTTATGTAGCAGTGAACATATTGGATCTTAGGAGTCACTGTTGCTGATATGAAATTCTGTCCTCACAAATGTCATCTCATAAATTGATGGTGTAAAATAAAAAAAAAAATCATTTTGAAGGGTTAGTTCAATATCAACAGCAATCTTATTTTACAAATGCTTTGTTGCTGTTTATCTTTCTAAGATTCTACATAAAAAAAAAAAAAAAAAAAAAAATCCTGAGCGGTACAGTACTAGTTGCCAAAATGAATATTTGATTTCCAGGTCTTACAAATTAGCTGAAAATGGCCTATTAACTAATTTTCAGTGTTACTGGATCCATTTACCAATCAGGATTTCTATGGTCTTCCTGGCTTGTTTCAACTGTGGGAGATCATCTGCTTTCTCTGGATACATGTTTGCACAGTGTGCTGTACCTGGAGTAAAATAACACAAATTAAAGTGAGCTGCGCCATGTTACACATCTCAAATCCATCCAAGGTTATTTCCCTGACATGGTATATCATGGTATAAAGACAGTAAGCTGAACATGTGCACCAATTTGCTTATTGATCCGATTTAAATGTGGCAGACTAGCAGCAATTTTTAAATGTGTTTGCAATTGTTTCTCAAAGATCATCAACTGCTGTGCTATTGGGGCATGTCTGTGTTGTGTTGTGATCTGATCTGCTCGACTGGCAACTAAAAGTGGCAAGCATAAATCACATTACCATTATACACTGCATACCTTTAATATAGATGGCAGTGACAGACTGTGATACGTCTTGTGTTATTCCCAGGGCATGCCATGGATCAATAGAACCATTAGGAAACACAACATTGTTGGTCTTCAGGCCCAGCCCACCATAGTTTGTATTTGTGCTCTTGATACCAGCTGTAAGGGTTGTCTGGTTGAACTGTTTACCATAAATGTCTTGGCACTGCTGTAGTGAAAAGCTGTCGTGGAGATTATAAAACAAGCCGACTTAGCAGTCATGTTTGAACACTCTACTTTTGTAGTATTTCTACATATAAGTTAAGTTTACCTAAATGCCTACCATTTCTGAAATGAAAACCTGGAAATCGTTTTGATGATTATTTTACTTTTACAAACCAAAAAAATATTGCACAATGGTGAAACAGTGTTGACACTACAAATGCAATGCTTGTTAATTAATTCACCATAAAAATAATTGATAAAGTGTAACTATAGTAACATCTGATTGGAGGGAAAAATGAAGTGCATAGTTAAAGGCCCAGGTATACTATAAATACGCTCCTAAACAATAGGGATTATTTCCTTGCTTGTCATACTGTAGTAAACGGCTCCAGCCAAGCTCCGGTGAAAACGTGTTTCTCGAACTTACATGTCTATTATGTCGTGCCAAAGTGGATGCATGTGACTATGAATATCACAGCAGTGACTGTGTGTAATATTTATGACAATAAATAGTGTACGAGCTGAGATTTTGGCGGATAAAAGTAAAAAAACATGAACTGGGGAAAGGGACGCACGACTAATCTTGAATAATTACTACTGTCAATCAAAGTCACGTGATGTTGGACCACTGAAACAGGATGCTCATAGGCTATGCAAGTGATTAACACCATGAATTAGAATAGCCACACCTCCAATTCACACTTGCCCTGGGCAAGTGAATTGGGCCTTTAAATATCACAGTGAAAATAAAATTCTGGCAGCCATGTTTAATTTGTATTACCGCATTCAATACCTAAACACCCAGAATGCACTATTCCCACAGTACTACTGTAAAATATTTATTTTAGCTAGAATTAATTTTCGCTGAATAGACTTTTTGGTTTTTTTGTATGTAATTTATTTTCAGTGATTTTTGACAAGTTGAATGTAAAATATAGGAAAAAAAGTATATTCGCTGGATTTTATTTTAAATGAATCATTCCTGCAGTGAAAATAGCAAAAATTAATTCCAAGCGAAAATAAAGTATTTTACAGTAATTTGTTACATGTACAAGAGCGTGGGAGGACGGCGATATCTGATTCAGGTAATGTCATAACATCCCCAATTCATCAAATATATTTATATTTATATATACATAACATGAGAGTATACATACCTAAGAGGAAAATTATGACCAAATGGTTGATTTATTGCATCAGATGTCTGATAGTAACCAAACTCTGTACATGTCTGATATACCCATTGTTTCCCTACAGGAAGTATTAAATTAGTATGAGTTCTCAGCATTCTGGGATATTAGTGTGATCTATATTTGCATTATTTTGAATGTATGGAATATATCTCACAATCATTCTTTTGCCACAAGCAATGATTTTATTAGTCACTTACGTGATCATTGTCAACTTTGCTGAAAACAAGTCATAACTCTCCAACAATGAATGTTAAAACTATGGCTAATGAAAAGTTGCCATTTTATACAATGAAATATCCCTTGATAGCTTGTTAAGCTGTGAATATCCTTGAAATATCTACTTATGACCGATTCCAGTTAGTTTATTTGTAATGCCAAAATACATTTTAACCAAAAAAGTACCTCAGACATCTGTTGACACATCAAACTCATTGTTTTGATTTTTATAAATATTTATAAATTTCACAATTCCAACTGAAACGAGAGGTTTCAATTGGCTGATGAAATAACATTGCGACCTTTTCATGTGGATCATTGTGCACTGGACAGCGCTTAATGTTGATTGGCTGGTTGAATTCAACTGTCATTGAAGCTTATAAAAGTCAAGGGAAAAGGTTAAATCGTGTCAACAGTAAAAAGAGTTGTGTTATTTTAAATTTACCACTAGTGAATTATTCAGGGTACCATGTAGTGTACAACAAACAAACAATTATTTGAATAGACACACCTCCTTCTGCTGCACTACTATTCCAACTATTCTGCCTCATTTCTTGTATCATGTTATCGTAGCTGATGTCCAGACACTTGGTTTGATAAGTCTGCAACATCAGTGTATTGACTGCAGCATACCTATGTAATGGATCACCAATGGATTCATCCACCATGATATCACATAGTGTGTCCAGAGTTATATTAGTACCTACAGCACCCTGTATAAGGAAGTTAAACATCAGTAAGACCATGTTCGTGCCTTCGGTGAAAAATGGTCGTTGCAAACACTTTTGTGTTCTAAATTACTCTTTATTATATGGCTGTTTTAAATTCTGTCCATAGACATTTGAAGTAACAAGCTTCATTTTTTAATTATGAACCACAATTATTCATTTTGAATTTCTACAAAACGGCCATCAAAGAAGGGTTCAATACTATAGGGATATTGCAAAGTCATTATTTGACTTTCGTTGTTTATTTGATGGAAACTTTCATTCTGCAAAATATCATAATGCTTTTTGAAATTTCTGCATTTCAATCCATCGCCTGGTGACACCGTTATATACCATTTATATCACCTATCCCATAGAGACAATGTACATATATCATATGGAAAGTCATATTTTTGACAAAGTTATATATGCACAGATTTCCACCAAGGTACAAGGTTTTGAAATTTTGTTGTATCAATTAACACATTGGTAATGCTGTTAGAAGCCGTGGAACGTGATGTATGGTATAAAACATTATTGTTAGGTTTAGAAATTTCCATTCCTAGGATGATAACCATGTTTTTTTTTTTTTGCTTTACTCATCATTTACTTTTTTTTTTTTTTTTTTATACTTCTTTTTTTTTTCTCTATACTTTATTGTACACTTTTGTCAAGATCCTAATAAGGATACGATTACAATAAAGATTATTATTATTATTATTATCATCAAATAAGTGTCAGATTTCATTTATGTAGTTTTTTTCTGCCATTGGCTCTGTGGGATATTCTTTCCTGTGCAGACTTGTATTCTGTACCAAGAGGTAACCTACTCCATGATGTTGCCATGGGACCAAAATGTTTCTACATTGACACTTAGGCGTAGATTTCAGAAAATACATATATTTTTTTTTTTAATACAGCATAGTATTACCATATCAAGAGTTTAATCAGGGCAAGACCAAGAATTTATAAGATAAGATTATTTGCATATTTGATATTTATATATGCAATTACTGAATCATTATTGAATGATATCCATGTACACATCATTCAATATTTTTCTGACATCACAGAATACAACAGATAATTAGAAAAGTTTGATTGTGAAAACGGCAATTCAAAATGGCAAACAAATATGTACGCATTCAGCAAATGCGTAAAAATACGAGCAAAAAACAGCCTGAGATGAACACTAATCATTTCATTCACAATATTTACATTTACATTATGTAAATTTTAAAAAATCTAATTTGGTTTTGCAGTTTTGCAATCATCTCATAACTCGTTCAACTTGAAATCTGCTCTTTATCACATTATAGACAAGTTATATATACCATTATCTTAATTTACAGCCATGTATAATTAACACACTTCAACAGAAAAGTTTCATCCAATGCATTACCCCAGTAGATATAGAAATCTCATTTACCTCAAACTCTCTGTTGTCTCTATTATACTGCACAACTCCTTCAAAATTACCAGACACTAAGCTGTGGAAATTTTGCACATCTTTTAATTCTGTTGAATTGATTGGTCCACATACTCTGTAAAATTAATTGTATTAAACAATCAAATGTTGTTAATAAAAATAATTAATAAAAATAATACAACAAATAAATTTTTCTCCAGATATTTGATATATTTGTGTCCCTCATTGCAACTACTTATTTGCAATAAATCAAATTCTGATGAATATAATTAAATGAACTTAGTGCTCAGTTTAATGCGAAAGAAAATGAGTCTTAAAAAAAAAATGCATTCTAGTCAGCATAGATACGACAAAAAA